GTTTTTTTTCTTGTTTTTATTTATTTTATTTATTTATTTTCTTGAATCAATAAAGGTACGTACTGATCTTAATTTATAAACATCATCTNAATAATTTAATCGCGGTTTATAATAATGTTTATTAAGGTAAACACCTTTAGTCTTTAGTTCTTTTCAGTTCCTGAAGAAGGAAACGTTGTTAACTGAAAGGTGTTGTGTTCTAGCGCTGAGCTTTGAGCTTTGAGCTTTTTGATGTTCTACTCTACAACACCGCCCATGTTTTCTGGTCCTCTAGAAACTACTAGACATGAAGTACGATTTCGATCTTCTTACGTTTCATCAGCAAGCCACAGGCAGTAATTTAATGCTTTACCTTATGAACAATGAAGTTAAATTGTCTACGACGTCATTTTCAAAATTCGTCAGCAATTTTAAGAAGTTAAAGAATTGCGTGCAAGAGTTCTGTACATCAGATAATTCCTTTGACAAATAGAACCGTTTGTGTTTGATATAATCAGTTCACAGCACGTGTAAATAGATGGATCAACTGATTTTTGTTGTTACTTTTTATATCGTTCTTCGGAAAAGTTATAGACTTCATATTTTGAGGTGGATATTCTTTGTTTGACAAGTTAACGAGCTCTGCTGGATTATTTCCAATATAGAACATATGTTACCGTTAAATTGTGATAACTTGTTGGTAATGTTATAACTTTATGAAGGGGTGGCTTATAGTGGCAAAAAAATCAACTGGGGAAAAATTTAGATGAATTATATACGCCTATGATATTCATGAACCTATTTTCAAAGAGGACAGGAACAAAATTTTTGTCTTTATTGGATTTAAATTACTTTTATTTTATTTTTTATTTTCTTGAATCAATAAAGGTACGTACTGATCTTAATTTATAAACATCATCTTTGGTTTTAAAAATATTTAACAGCGGATTAGTGACTCTATCTGTGTCACTAAGTATATTGAAAATTCTCTTCATAAATAACAAATCATAACAATCATGAAGTGACTTTACAGAAGATAAACCAGCAATCTTAGCAATATTAACGTAATCATGATCAAAGAAAGACAAGGGTTTGCCAATTTTGTAAGATAAGAATCTAAAAAACTTATGCTGAACCGCTTCCAATTTCATTATCATGGTTAAATAATGTGGAGACCAGATTTAAGAATTATAAAACATTATAGGGTCTTGTACATATAAATAATAGTACTTAAATTTACTGGCTGATCTAATGTTGTTCTTGATCTTGTTTTAGGAATTTAGTACCACAAAATGGGGTTTTCTCTAAATTAAAGAGAATTGGTTAAAGTAAAACGGCAAATTAACAAGCTGTCATAGTCCTGCAGGTTATCAGTATGGAAAAAAACTTTTGTGAATCGTGGGAATGGGTGGGTGGTGGTTCGGGTGAGAAAGATGAGACGGATGAAATGAAGACAGAAGAAAATAAAAGATTATCTGTGGAATATTACTGGCCCAGCATATGCCTAAGTGATCCAAGGAAACCACAGAAAAACTCGGATCAAGGCAGACGGACCCGGAATCGAACCGGCGTCCTCCCGAATATTAAGCATTGGTCTAAACCTCTAGGCCATGCCGCTCGGTATGGTGTAAAATATGAAGAACTCTGCACAATTTTTGACAATCGGTACTGTAGTAATGACAGAGAGAAACAAACTCTACAAATTGTTTAAATAGAGAGAAAGATGCACAAATATTATAAAGTACCAGCAGTGTTCGTTACCTGCGCCTATATTGCGTATCACGTAAAGTGGCGGCTCCAGCAATAAAACTGCCAAAAAGTGACCGCCCTACCAGAAATTACAATATTAAGGCATCATTCAAACGAAACACGTTTTGTATTCTGTTATCTAACCACTTGTACCTTCTCTTTTATCGAAACCTAAACGGAGGTTCGAATCGCAGCTGGACAGACAGACTCACTAATAAAGTTTGGACCGTCCTCTTGTTTAGTGTAGATGTCTGTCATTCGACAAAATAAGCTTATAAATCTTTTGAATGTTTTATTGCCTGAGCAGTCGCTTTACGTGATAAGGACTATTTTGCACATCACTAACGTTCATTAATAAAGACAATGACGAATATGAAATCTTGCATCATAAGAACCTAAAAGTTATAAACTCTTTCTTTTTGTAACAATGATAATTAGTAAATACTTTCAAACGATCAGTTACATATAAATAATTCACCCTCACAAAATCTGTTTATTAAACTACCCTCATTAATAACAACTGTATACGGCAAAACAATTGTTAAGTGTTTTAATACAATAGTTTTGTGGAAATTAACATTCAGTTCTATTTAAAAAAGAAACTATAAGTTTTCTTTAAGTATATTTAGATGCGGTTATAATCATTTTCTGTTATGTGTCGGAGATTACACGAATAGTTTTAATTGCCTCCTCAGATAAAATACGATCCAGCCAAAATTTAGATGAACGATTTCAGTTAATCCCTTGCGGCTATGGCTGGCTCGAACAAACCTCCTGAAGCAACCAGTAATTCGGACAGATAATTTATTTTGTTGAAAATACCAGTCGGACCTTACGCATTAAGCCAAACTGTTGTATGTGTACAGGAAAACGTTCTGTATCGGAAAATTTAAGCGAAAATTGTAACAACCAGCGAGTGAAGTATTATAAGCGCGAGCTTTGGAATAAGAGGTGGCAAGGTGGAGGTAATTTTCAAGCTTTTGGTCCACGTCTAACACATGAAGGCACGAACTTGCGATAACTCCAGAAATTGGGAAGGAAAGAAGAAGGTAGAGAAGGACGTGAAGAAGAAGGTATTGCCGGTCCGTAAAGCACATGTCAAATTGCGCACCCAACGAAATTTGTTATTATTAGCGTACGTGGAAATTCAGGTTGGTGCCGTTTTAAGAGTTCAACTTTCTCACCTGAGGCTTACGTCTATTTAAGCGTAATTTAGAGCTTGTTATAACGAACAAAAGAACACAGCTTTTTGCAGACTACGCACGAAAAGATAATTTAATGGCAGTTACGAAAGCATAACTGTTATATCTCTTCATAAAAAAGAGAAAACGAGACGCTTGTCAGGAATTATCCAGTGAGTAGCTTAGATACGGAAAGAAATTCTAAAAATAAATATATTTCTTTTGTGTTTTATAAATCTCTTTCTGTTATTTACACTGTTAACTTCATTATTAGTGAGATCCTTTGAATTTTTGTGGCGTTAATTCAAAGTATTAGCGAATTAATTTTTGGGACTCGGGTTCGATTCCCGGCAAGGGAGTGTCAGCAGCATCAATTTTTCCTCATTAAGTTGAGAATATTTGTAGTGGGTAAAATTAATTCAATAATTAATTCACTAATACACTGTTAACTTCCTAAACCTAACTAAACTAAGAGGAATGGGATAGACGACCCTTTCATGATGATACATTGAAGTAAAATACTAACGAGAAATCACCGTGAAGTTACAGTACAAATTCATTAAACCGTTCTCGTATATAGAAGGTCAGGGCACATTAAAATCGATTTTTGATCGCCTGCAAAAAACGCCGGCATTTTAGGATCGACCAAAGCAGTGACTCTATCTATCCTAAGGAGTATCTTTAGATTATGGTAACGTTAAATTATTTGACTTTGGCTTACTAAATAAATAACGTTTCATACCAGAACATAAAAAAATGTAATATTCCTGCTATTTTTGACGTAGACAATGAATATGTTCTTATGCAGATGCTGAATGATATGTACTATAGATACAGTATTGTGTAAATTGTTTTTGAGCTATATGAATTATTTTGTATTTATTGTAAATGTTCAGTGGTAAGAGGTCATTAAAACCTGTCAATAAAATCCTTATTAATACTCCTTGATGTTGAAAGACAGATTTACATTAAGTACATAGCTAGATTCAATATTATTATAATGCCTTGGATATAATTTTAAAAATGGTGGAGGCGCAGGACATAATTGTACTGTTTATATTTGTATAGGTATTGCGTTTTTAATTTATTAATTACAACTGTAAGGACAATATTTAATACATTTAGCTTAATTGTTTATAAAATATATATCCATCATTTAATTATAATTTCTGCATTTACTCAAGTATCTAGGGTTATTGCTATTTTTATAAGAAAGTTTCAGAACTGCAACTAATCGAATGTTTAGCTTTAATGGAGTAGCAAAAAACAAATTTCTACAAATGTAACTTTAATGGCTTCTATATTGCTTATAAAACTTTTGTAATGGGGGTGCATATATTCTAAAGACTGTCTATTCCTTTTTTTGTAACCTGGGGTAAATATGTAATAGTGATTTAACATCACTAACAGAAAGCTTATCAAAAGTTGCTTTAAAATTAAATATACGATATGTAGAGAAAGTTATTGAACAACTGGTTCAAACATTGGCTATTTACTCTAAAACGTATTTTTATTTTAATTTCAGAAATACCCTAATTATTTTTTAACTAGTATTTATTTGAAGTTCTGATACAAAGCAGGTTAATTTTTTGTGCTACTTTTACTAAATACCTACTTCAGGAAATTATTCAATAAATACGTTATTAAAAGCGAAAATTGTCCTTGTGAAATAACAGGGTTCTACATCAATCCACAACTCCCCTTAACGTTTCATAAAATTTCAATAAATCATTCCAATCCTTGTAATTAATCAATTCTATCCTCTGAATGTAGAATAAGTTTCATAAAATTATTGATAAAAACTTACTCATTTCTCACATAGGAATTATTCTTAGTCACGAACATGTGAAGGTATTAGTAACCGCTACTCAATGAGGGATTTTTGGAGATTTTGTATTAGAAGTAAAGCCTTTTTTTATAGTCGTATTAATTTAATATCCTCGGTCAGTTGAAAAACAGTATTTCTCACTATCACTTCTACTATTCGTTATAAAAATTTGCAACAAAAAGGCAGAGTCACGTGACGGAACATAATCACTGGTGCGGATGTTCCGCAAGGAACAATGAATGTAACGTTCTGTTTTAACTTACCGTTATGAACTAAAAGTGTAGAATCCCTGGCAAGGGCAAGTTCAGAATCGGTGAGAGTGGCGTCGGATGCGTTTTCTGAGGTGGGGGTGTCGCTTAAGCCCTGGGGCTGTTGGTACAGGGGGTGCTGGTACGTGTGCTGTGAGCCGAAACGCCTAGCTGGCGATGGACATTCTTCGCTCTCTGAGCCACTGACGCTGTATGCGGGGTACAATCGCCCCTTGCCTGAAACAAAACAGATACATGGAGTTCCTTGTCTGGCAATGTGCAATGCCACATTCGGACTAGCTGGGGTGATGAGGAGCGATTATGTAAAACAGAAGGCAAGTGCACGAAGGGTAAGCGCGAATAAAGAGTCCAATTATGGGAAAAAATCGGTGCCAATATGTACGTAAGCACCTACCTATTCGCAACGGGGGGGCGTTCGAGTGTGAAAGGACAAAGAGATTAGCAACTGGAGAGGGTCTAAAAGGCCAATACACACTTAAAAGTCTCGACGAGTTCTTTGTGCGAATCCGCTAAATATGTCTTCATATTTTGACTGAAGTTAGTACACGCAGAAAACTAAATTTTTATGACAACGCAAGAATTACGATTTTCGATTGTAAATTTACCGTAGAAATAGTAGAATTTACTAGGTAACCTGTAATAATCTCAATTTTGACGTTTTTCTTAATTATCACAATTAAATTTGCAATATTAACTAAAGTACCTAGTAAATTTATTTCTGCTGGATTTTATTTTTACATATTCGGGTCCAAATTGTAATTTTTATTATTTTCATTTACGAAGCAACGGACTAGTGGGATGAATTGTGTAAATATCGCTTTAATATTTAGGTAAATTTCATTTCTTCCGTGTACTGTTTATTTGAATTTCTGAGTCTTAAAATAGTCGCAAGCATCATTTTTGAATCCTTGATTCTTTTAAGGCGTTAATACACCTTAGTTTTTCATGATAGATTATTTGTTATCTTTGTGTTTATTAATTTTTGTTGTTGTGTTTATTAATTTTTGTTGTTTTCCTATAGGTAAACAATTTTAAAACACTAAATTTATTTACTAATTAAAATTAATTCTACAAAGACAAGGGCCTCGCCTACCCGCCTGGAGCTTTGCAAAGGCTAATAAGTATTAAGAAAATGTAGTGTATCACAAAAAGTCAATAAAAAGAAACAGTGCTTAATTATCTACGGCAAAACGTTCATCTTATTTATTTATCTAAAGTTGATGCTGTTACTTAAGAAATTAATTTTTATTGTAACCTAGGAAACGTTTTTTTTTTCATTTCGCAAACATAGATACTTCATCACTTCCATTGTTTGCAAGTAAAATGGAATTGGCACTTTCTTGGTGGAAATTCTTCATTTAATTTGTTAAAAAATCACGTTAGTTATTTATATAGTAAATTGTGAGTTATGACATCGAACGAATAGGTTAAAAGCGTTGTAATAATTTGTATGAATAAAAAGTATGTGATATCATTCTTAATTCCTAATTAGATCGTACTTTAATGTGGTACATAACATAGATAAGAAGGTAAATATTTCGGACATAAACAGGGTAGCTTGTGTGGCAAGGACAAAAAATCGACAATGTAGTTTCTGGCAGTTTCATTATAGTGCAATCCTTATTTACGATTAGATGGAAATTATTATAAGTTTTATGTATGGTGTACAAAAATGATAAAAAATAACGCCAATAATTGTGAGTGGGGTAGGCACGCTATCGTCTATTTCAGTATCAATATTCTTTCTATTTTCTAGTTTTTAGTTTCTTAAACTTACTAATCCCGAAATATTTTCCAATATTAAATCTAGTGTAGGCTGTTTTCAGAAAAAGTGGGTTCGTAATTTATAAAATAGAAAAAAGTTTGAGATTTCCATTTAAAGTAGATAGAAAGAAAAGTTAGTTGAAAGGTGGATTAAAGAAAATAGTTTCCAGGAACAGTGGGAAGAATAAGAAGGTATTAATGGCACCTGGCGTCGCTGCCGGGAAAAATATTCCTCGAAAATCCATTATTCGGAAAGAGGTCTGGTTGGCGGCCGGCAACTTGCTACATGGTAAGTGCAATTAAAAACTTAAAGTTGCGCTTGGGCAAATATTTTCACAGCAGCTGCTACTGTAAACAACCTCTCGTCGAGCACCAAAGCCCTGGTTTAATTTCCTAATTTCTGTATTAATAGCATTAGAGTCCTTCAGTGAGGAATATTAAAATTTCAGAAGGAGTAAAATGAAAACTGTAAATTGTGAGCCAACCAAACGCTGAGCGCCTTTGCCGTGCAAACGACTTTTTCTCAACTTAGTTTTCTTAATTGAATTACCTTTATTTAAGCTGCATAATATTAAAACGAGAACGCACAAATGGAAACGAATTCGTCTGTGAATGTCCCGGAAGACCAAATCGAATGAGAATTGTGGTATTCTTTACAAAGTTGGTAAAACGGACCGAGATGGAGATTTTTTGAACAAATCCGACAATTAATTTAAAATCTCCACGGGATTCAAGTAAGAAGTTCCTTACTTTTCCCAAGACTACCGTAACTATTACACTTAATACAATTTCATATTGTGTACGAGGGTGCGTTTTTAGGTTCGCGGAATAGGTAAGTAAGTCATTAGTTAGGGTACTTACTCCAGTCTCGACTAATTAAGCAACTCATTATTAGTATAAATACCAAGTTTTATCGTAATTAAATCAATAGCCTGTGAGCTATCGTAGACGAAACAAGTCAATCGGGAATAAATTGTGACATATGGAGAAAATCGTGTACCCCGCTGTTATAAAGTTCCTTACCAAGCAAGAAAAATCAGTTCTAACCATACTGGAAGTGACGTCATCCGTTTACGGGGAATCTTGGTTTACAAGTGGTATACCTTCGTTAAGCAAGGTATGGACTTACCTGAAGACTATTCACAGGACTCTGAAAGTGAGACTCGAGTCTGCATCTCTCATCGAGTCTCTCTGGTATCACTGAGAGAGACTGTCGAGAGACTGTCAAAAAAGCTGTTTAGCGTCTATGAACGAGAGACTCGAATCGCTCATAGAGAGATCCTCATTTCGTATCCAGTCTCTGAACGAGAGACTCGAATCTCTCAATAAGTGGTGTCTCGATAGACATGGTTAATATTTTCTAAGTTCAACATATTTCAGAGTTCATTCAGTCTCTCTGTGAGAGACTCGAATCTCTGAATTAACAATTTTATCATTCAAGTCTCTCATACAGAGACTGTGAGAGATCCATAAAAACATCAATAACTGAGAGACTGTGAGAGACGCTCTCACAGACGCTGAAAGACTATAAGAGACTGGAGATACTGAAAATTTTTGTCTAGGGAAGATCATGACCGAATATGCTAATCCAAGACCAAGACTGTCTAAGTCTTGGTATTGCTCTTGCTTTGCTCACCACTAGTTCCTTATCATAACTTCTGAACGAAGTACCCTGCATAAAAGACAATATTTTTGAGATGTGTGGAGGTTATTTTTCTTGTACCTGTCCTTAATATAAATTGATTCCTCATTACTGACACTTTATATATTATTGTAATGTTACATTTCTATCTAAAGATATTCAGTTCATCATTTATTCGCTGGGAATGTGGGATATAGCCGCCTGTCAAGATAAGCCTGAAGAAATACAATCGGTAAGAAATTAATTCTAATAAATCCCGTACACACCTTTAATGAAGAATTTATTCGACAGAAGGCAAATACTTCCTACGATTAGTCGGCCACAATCAATGTTGTTCGGATTAAAGAAGCTCAAAATAGGTTCGTACAGATAGAGCTAATAGTCATTTTTGTTGCCATCCTTTCTGGAATCGATCGGAGGACTCGTTGGGCTTGTGATTCGTTTGCGCTAGCTTCCCTTTCTTACTACGACCGGAAATCAAAGATTTATGTTTCTTGCTGCGACAAGGGTGGATTTATTACTTTTAATAACTGACACAAGCGGCTTCCCGATACCTTTTCCCTCGAAGGGAACTGGGAAGTTGTACATTACGAAATTTGGAAGGAAATGTAAATGCGAAACGAAGTTTCCGCAAAACCAACGACATCAACTGCATAATTTCATCAACGAACTCCACCAGAAATACTTTTCAAGATGATCTTTCATAAACTTATTATTCAAGATTCTTTCCGTATAACGTTATAAAGTTGGGCACTTATTACATATTTTTCGCTTGAAAGTTTCACTCTAGACTACATGCATTTTGCAACATAGAGAAATGCAGTAGTGCATTAACACAAAAAATATATATATGAGTACCTTGTCGGTTAAACATGTACCAAAATAAATTCTATAAAATTAGTCCCACAACCAGCATAGCCATATGATGATATAGGTACAATTTAAACTGACTAATTCCTATGACTTAGCCCCCCGAGGCTGAATTGTACAGCATTAGATCGCTCGAGCGAAAGAAACGGAGCTTGTCACTTAGTTTACGATGAGGCAGTAGTAGAAAGTCTTCTCCGGAGCATACGCACCGCCTTTCATTAATTTTTTTAAACATTAATGTGAATTAATATTCAACCCTCTACAGGATATCTAAAACTAACGGGGAAAAATTGTTGTCACACCCACGCTGGGATTCGAACCGAGGACCTTTGGCTTTACGTATCAATGCTTTGACCATTAAGCTATGAAAGGTGACTGTAGTAACAACAACGAAACATGCCCACGAGGTTACTGAATCGTCGAAAGAAATGATAAAATATATAATTTTCAAGGTTAATAATACGTACATATATTTCTAATTTAAGGAGCGCAATTTTTGTAATACAATATTATATTTCATTATTTAATGATTAAATTATTTACCTAAGTTTCTCATTCTGAATATCAGGTAATTTGTCAACACTCAGTGATTATGATGTAGACCACACGTAACGTCTCTAATTTTGTATCTTTCTATTAATATTGTTCCCAAATACATAAAAGCGGAAAATTTCAAATTCAAAAATGTTTATTTTTACTGTCACGATTATTTGTTAACTTATTCATGTTGCGTAAAATTTTAAAGAATAACTGGGATAAAAAAAGCACAGTCTGAAAAGATGATGTACGTAACCCGTTTTAAGAGTAGCCAAAAATAGCCTCGTGTGCATTGAGACCGGAGGTTGTAAGTGTGACAAATATACGTAACTATATCGTAAGGGAAGTATTTCTTCTACGTCAGAAAGATAAATGATAGAACATAAATCGCACCAACTTCTAA